GGGGGGCCCCCCCCCCCCCCCCACCTTCATCATCTGATACACACTGTGTATATTTCAGTTATGTAGCATCCATGTGCTAATGAGGCTACGTCAGAATCAGCTCCAGTTGAGGTCACCGCTTCACTCTCCACCATGTTACTGGACGTGGAGAAACAGCAGCTTCACAGTAAGTCTGGAAAAACGACATGAGTGGTTCTCAAACCGTGGACCAATAGAGATATTTGGGCTCCTTTTACTGGTATGTCGGGGCAATCTGATTTAAATACAGCTGTTTAAACTATAACTTTTTTTAACCCCTGAGTAACTGTGGTTTGGCGCCCCCTATTTGCCAGTGTACTATATATGTACTGCGTCAGAAGGACAAAATGTTGGATTAATTTTACACGGAGAAAGTAACGGACCTGTAAATGATCGGATTCTCTGTAATAATAATTCTTTCTCTGCAGCCTAGTACCAATTGACCCACGGACAAGTACCGGTACACGGACCAGGGGTTGGGAACCCCGTGCTGTATATGACACAAAATAATACATTTATATACAAAGATAAAGGAAAATCATCTCAGCTCAACTAGGTTGCCTCTACTCTGTCACACATATTCTCTGTGTGTGTGTGTGTGTGTGTGTGTCATGGTACTCATCTAGAATTTTAAACAATGGCTCACCTTTAAGCATCTCTCTCTCTCTCTCTCTCTCCGTCTCCCTGCCTCCCTCTGTCTCCACCGTCTCTATCAACAGTAAACTGTACGCTGGTAAATAAAGCATAATCATCTGCTGCCCACTCTCTGAAACATCTAATGGACCACTATTAGCCCCTAAGTGGGCTTTATTGTATCTTTGGAAATTGGGATCTAAATGAATTGTGGAGACACGGGTTGATGTCGAGGTGCAGGCACCGCACAAGTGACTGCAGAAGTGGGTGTGTGAGTGAGAGAGACAGAGAGAGAGACAGAGAAATAGAGTCTCACTCTGTCATATATATATATTTGTTGATGTCGAGGTGCAGGCACCGCACAAGTGACTGCAGAAGTGGGTGTGTGAGTGAGAGAGACAGAGAGAGAGACAGAGAAAGATGAACGCCATCATATTGTGGCCGCGACTTCTGTCAAAGTGCTGCAGAATAAGGAACAAGTGGACTGACTGATGTTGTTTAAATGATGCGGTCGACAACATCGCACCTCTGCTGCCCTCGTTGTTAAAAATATTCAGATCACTTCATCTCTACCTTTTTTTTTTTTTCTGAAGCCCTCAGTGATCTTACCTGACCACATCCTCTGGACATCCCACAGGCATCTGTGAATGAGGTGTAAAAAAAAAAGCTCCTGTGATTCTGTAAAAAAAAAAAATAACATAAATCAATACTTCAACCTTCAGCTATAGGGGCGTAGAGCATTAAAGCAAAGATGATGGTCAGGAGTTCATAAAAAAGTCATAGAAAAAGGGCTGCAGAGTGGCAGCTCAGACAGAAGAGTTCCAGAATAAATGCACATAAATCAGCTGTTTTTAAGGTTTTTTTTAATTTTTTTTTTATCATCCATACGTCTAAACAACCGACAATATTTAATTTACGCATTGGAAATATCACATAATTTTTAGCTGAAATCACAGAATAACACAAAGGTTCTCCTCAAAAACTGTTAGAGAATTTCAAACACACACACACACGCCTGATTGGTTCTCACACCTTCCCTATGAAACTGAAAATGTACTGCAGACATCCTTTAATAAGTGTAAAAGTTTTTTTTAACGGAATATTATATATATATTTCTGCACTTCAAACATTTTTTTTATTAATATGGTTTTGCTTTTCTACGTGTGGAGTTTGTATCTAACACTTTTCTGTTCGTACAGTGTTTGTTCTGTAGCGGTGTCGCTGCAGACGACTGTAGAGGAAGGGAAACTCGTAGAGCTTGTTCTCCTGTCGTCGTCCATGACACCTTCTCTCCTCTGCTACTGTGTGTTTAAATGATGACCTCACATGAGTCTACGCCACAGATTTTGCCATCTACCTACTGACAGCACGGCTGCCGAAGGGCTGGGGGTGCGGGGGTGGGGGGTTGACATGTACACTAACAAATCTGGACCAGATCATACAAACCCTCAACAACTTGTACAACTGTACACGTGGTCACACCCACTCACTAATCCCATTATCAACACCTTCTCTTTTCTTTAAGTTTCACCACAGTGTACGTTATGTAACAGGTGCTGATTTGACCCCATGGTAAAATTAAAAATTTAAATTAACTATATTATTTATTATTTAAAACTAGAAACTAGACACATACATTATAAATATAATATGAACACGTGTACAGAATAGTACTGTACATATATATTTAAATGTGTAAATATATATGTGTATGTAGTAGCTATAGCTGTACTATTCATTGATAGTTATCAACAAAAAATGTTTCAATTTTTTTAAATGTTACTGTTCATTGTATAAACTGCTTATTGCTAAAACTGAATTTATCGCAATAATTTAATTAACAAAGCTTCTATTATCGTCCATTTATTTTTCTTAATCGTGTCTCGTCATTATCTTAAAGACAAACTTACAATGTGTTGTGTTGTACAATGTTCACTTGGCGGGATTAGCCGTTTCCACTCATATATACGATAAAAACAAGTTTTACAATAATTTTTTAATTAGCTTTATCATAATTATTGATTAATTGTTGCTAATCGTTTATCGTTTGGTTTGATTTTTTTATCGTAGGGAGAAACCATTTACATTTAAATAACTACCAGTAAGCTAGTCAACTTACTGATATTAGGATAAGGTGTTTTTTGGACTTAATTGTCGAGTTTGAGCCGTTGACTTCTTCGTATTTCCCCCCCCTGTGGTTAAACACATTCCCTCTGTTTGAACGCTCGGTGCCTGTGGGCCTTTAATGACAAACAAATGTTCGCTGGTGTTTAACTGAACCGTCGTACCGTGGCATCTGCCTCTGCTACCGACGTCGCTGACATCCGTCTGCGGGCAGTGAGACAGTCAGTCAGTCAGACAGCTTAGCTCCTCCTCCTTACCCGACACCCCCCGCCCTCACCCCCCTGCTCTTCTGCGTAGTGGTGGAGTCCCCTGTAGTCCACATCCGGGTTGCGCGCACTGACAGGAAGTAGCGAGCTCGACTTTTTCATACTGCGTTACCCAGAATCCACCGCGACGCCTCAACTTACAGAACTGGCTTCTTAGGCTTCGGGAGTGTTTCCCATTTAAACAAACAGTGCCGAAGATGGCGGAGAATTAATGGTGTAAAGAAGAAATTATCGATCCGGGAAGAGAGATACTTCTACCAGGTAAGACCCCCGCTGTTTGTTTTACGCTACGAAGCGATGCTAGCGCGACTTTTTATGTGGTGTGTGTTACAATATGAAGACGGAAACGTAGAGACTTGGCTTCCCAGCGGCGGTGCAGTGCACACACAATATTGGCATCGGCTCGGTGCGGAGGGCACAGTGTGTGTGTGTGTGGTCATTTACTACGTGACAGCAAAGGTTCACTCGGGTCTCAGAAGTACCAGTGTTCCGTGCATTTCTCAGTCTTCGCCCCGCGCTGTTGTTTCCAGTAGGTTTAGTAACTTTGGCAGTCGAGCAGCAGACAGGTCAGTTTGAGGCACAGGCTGCTGCCGCTGCTGCTGCCGCTCGGTCGCTGAAGACTCTCCGGTTGATAGTGGGTTGAAGTTTTGTAGCGGCACAGATAACAGCGTACGTGCTTTAAAATGTCACCGAACAAAACCGGCACCACTGGGCAAACCAGACCGAGTGCTGCTGTTATCGTTACCGAGGACTTTGTCCCGGTCGCAGCTTTTCTGGTCGGTTTGTCACTTTCGACATGAAGTCGGGCTGAGTGAGTGCTTTCGCAACGCGAGCGGATTTGGCCAGAAATGTTTGTGATTGAAGAGCCCGCTGACCGATCAATGTTTGTAAAAAAAAAAGAAAAAAACATGGCTGTAAACAAATAAACGGTGTGTTTAGAGGCGTCGTTACGATGCTGAGAGGTGGACTCTGTCCCCGGTCACCCTGCCTGATCCTACCAGTCTGTCCCGAGGGCTGAACCGGAGCCACGGCA